ACACACACACACACACACACACACAAACACACAAACACACACACACAAATATCACAACGAGGGTAAACCAGGCTCAGGAGCAAACCAGACAAAGACTATAAAAGCAATCCCAAACTGAGAAACGGCGTCCCGAAACCGAACGATCAATAGGTCAACCCTCACATCATTAGGGGTGACCTAAATAAACCACAAACGCACACCACAGAAAGCGAGAGAACTCACCCCCGAGCTACCGACCTACTACAGGCTGTATCTCTCTTCTTTGTCAAACTTTGAGCTAGGGGTATATTTTTAGCGAAGTTGGGTACTGACTGCAAAGTGCTTCTTCAAGCATTATAGGCTCTACGGGAGTAGCATCAGGAAAATGATGCGCTGAGCCCCCGGTCCTTTCTCCCCTTTCGGATACTCCCCTAGTCCCCATTGCATAATAATAATATTCTTTCTTTCCGGCTTTCATACCAAACCTTTCTCTCTTCCCTTAGAAATCTGCATAAAAATATCTCGACCTAGATACATATCAATAGTCTTTCGAAATAAAGGGTGATGACCTAGTGTACAGTCACTGATAACTTATGCGCAAGTACATTGTACGTTCTGACCAGAAACGAACACAAAGACGGATAGGACTACACACAAGCACACATTTGTGTTTGCGAGCATGTGTGTGTATGTGTGTGTGTGTGTGTGTGTGTGTGTGTGTGTGTGTGTGTGTGTGTGTGTGTGTGTGTGTGTGTGTGTGTGAAAAGGATGTGTGTGTGATGGATTTGTGAGAGTGTGTATGTGTGTGTACGCGTGCGTTCGTGCACGCTAAGTCACCAGACAGGCGAAGACTAATTACAGACGATATCGAGGGCGTTTTCTGTGAGGAGTTTTTGTGCATCTGTTATTCAAGCAGAAAGATAAACAAGTTAAAGCTGAACGGATGCGAGACTTGCTCTGGAGCCAGCATTTTGCCCAAAGAATGTCCTGCTAATGTAGGCTAATGAAACAGTCAGACGGAAGGAGGGCAGGATATATTGGGATGGCTGGATCGTGCCACAAACATAATTTATCTGAGAGAACGAATTATTGTTGTTATCGTTGTTGTTCATGCTGTCGTTGCTGCTGCTGCTGGTCATGTTGTTGTTGTTGTTCATGTTGTTGTTGTTGCTGGTTGTTGTTCGAATTGTTGTTATTGTTGTTGTTCATGTTGCTGCTGCTGCTGCTGCTGTTGTTGTTATTGTTGCTCGAGTTGCTGCTACTACTTTTGTTGTTGCTGCTGCTGTTGCTGCTGCTGCTACTGCTGCTACTGTTGTTGTTGTTGTTGTAGTTGTTGTCATTCCAACAAGGTCTTTGCACTTCAAGCCCTCTGGCTCCATGCCAATTTGTTACGGCAGCCGGGCAACAAAGGGAGGTTATACTGACATGCAGTGTACTTTGGTACAGTTCAATAGATCTAGACAAACAATATCTTCATAACGAAAGTAGAGGGTGAGGGTGGAAGTAATGGGGGGGGGG